AATCTTACTAAAACTTGTCCAGACAATAGAAAACTCAGGACTGCTTCCCAACTTGTTTCTTGAGGCTTGTGTAACATTGATAACAAAATTTAGCAAGGAGATAATGAGAAAAGACAATTCTCATTAATTTCAATGCACAATCCTGAAACCACAGATGCATTGACCAGTAGTAGAGCATGTAGGCTCCCTCACACCTACTGAATCACAATCTCAGCTCACAGTGAGAGACAAGTTATAATAATTCTTTCTAGGTAATTTAGACATAGCCATTTTAAGGACCAGCATTTATAAACCCTCATTTTTCAAATTTTCTAAGTAATTGTGATGAAGAAATAATTAACAGGCTGTTAATATTCATCATTGTTAAAATGTCATGCTAATGATGCATAATTGTTGAAGACCATTCACAACTCTAATTGAGGTGAGTTTGAAATGTGCACCATTTTTTTTTTTACTATCTGGAAGGAGACAGAGGACTTCCTTGAGGCATGTGCTCATCCAGGAGCCTGCTCCCTTCAGCTTCTCTGTGAACACACTGCTCCCACCTACTGGGAAGATCCCTTTATGCTATTTTTCTACAGGCTGAGAAATAACATTTTCAGCTCTTAGACAAGGATTCCTCCCTTCAATAACACTTAACTCCCTCCAAATTGGTTCCCAGCCATTCATGTTATTCAGTTACCTCACAGAAGGTTAAGACAGCTAGCAAGCAAAATTAAAGTCAATGCTTCACTTTAAAATTACTAAATAAATTGTTAAATATAGAGAAAAAAAATCATAGTTTTGAAAATTAACATTGTTACTGCACTAACTAGGTATTTTGAGAGAAAAGTTTTTGTTTCAACTTCAAAATGCTAAAAACCTAAAGGACTCGAGAACATACCTTTTTACTATAAACAAAGTTAGGAAGAATAAAACATGGCCTATCGGTCATTTTTCATGAGCAGTGTGAAGAAGGATTTCAGAGAGAAAAATAAAAAGATTATGTAGCAAAGGACCACTGAGAGTTTCAGAGAAGGGGCTCATTGCTCCATTCCTGCTTGTGATGAGCTACAGACTGGTGTATGGAATCCCAGGGAACTCAGGATCCATTCCCAGCTTCTTGGAGAAGATAATACTTAGAGAAGCTAGTAGCCCCTCTGGGAAGCCTGGGTTCTCTGGAGGGCAGAACTGGAAGCCAGGCTCCTGATGTTAAAAATTGTTCAGTGCCACTGAGACAGATAGAAGAGCACCTGAAAGAGGGCCAGGAGACCAGAGGGATTTGCAGAAAGGAAGAACCACACTGCCAGCAAATATTGCACAGATCATGTGAGCCAGATTTTGCAGTGAGAGCTTCAGCAGTGAAGGCAGAAAGAGAAAGAGCAATGCCCCAAAGCATTTGAGAAATACCTGTCAGTAGATGTCAGCAGAGGCCAGAAATTGGTCAAGAATCAAAGGCTCTTTTCCTCTAGTGTGTTAGAAAATATAGAATATGAACTCTATAACCCTCACACCCCTTTTCCAACCTTAGAGAAAAATCCTAGGGAGGTGGAATGTGAGGAGGCTTGAAGCCAATAAGTTGCAAGTGATTGGGGTTAAATCAGATCAAACTTTTGCACTGATATTAAAAATCTTACTAAAATCATTACTGTAAGTATATATATGAAGAGACAAATGGTGTGACTCTACTTTATGTACAACCAGAGACATGAAAAATTGTGTTTTATTGTGTAATAGGAGTTGAATCACATTCTGCTGTCATATATAACAAATAAGAATAAATTTAAAAAAATACTACCTTCAACCTGCCTTTCAACTATGTCCCAGTAATTGCCAAAGATGATCATCCTAATTAGGCATCCACTTCTTCACAAACGTGCCTGAGAATTCTACTCCCGCAGATTTACTGCTAACATTTCTCCTGAGCTCTCTGAACTTCCAAACCATGTCATATGTATGACTCCTAACACATTATCTAATATGCCCAGCCAATGTTTCTGAGTGTGAGCTGAATGAGATTTAGTGAAAAATGAATATCAGAATGCATTAGAATTACCTCCCTATTTGAATCTTACCTTTCTATGAACAGGTAATGTTCCATTTCCTTTTAAGAAGGAGTTAGAAACCATTTTACCATATATTTTAAAACTCCTGTAAATATTTGTTGCCATTTTCTCCATTAAAAAGATAATATATGACAAAATGGTAATGAACATGCATACAAAATTGCATACATGATCACCTCCAAGAATTTAAACCTCTGAAAGATACATTGCATTTTTTTGTGAAGATTTAAGTAGGTGAATAAATGCCAGCTCCTACATCAACTATACCTTTCCTCAATTTGTGCACAATGCTAGCTATAAAAGAAACAATCCCTTGCTCCCCAAGAAAAAGCATGAAAAGGTAGCAGGTCCAGCCAAAGCTATGTCTTGTGTGGGACTCTTAAGTACTAAGAGAATAACTGAGTTCGATGACATTGTATTCTATTTCATGAGAGCAGACATAGCAAACTTTCATGAGCCATATTTCCTGTTGTTTTTAGGAGGAAGGTTTATAGAGAAGGGAAGTGCAGTAAAGAAAGAAAAGGCGGAAGGTGTGAGGGGGGTTGTCACTCTCAGGCCAATTTTGTTGCCAACTCCTGTACTCATGACTTTGCTATTTGAACAATGCTCAGTAAGTTTTAGTGGGTGATATCCACAAAAATGCAAACCATCATTATTGGTAGTACTATGGCATCATTATCCTGTTGGCTTTTTTTTCCATTCATTAAAGTAAACGGGGAAAGTCATATTTGGAAAACAACTTCTTATGTGCCTTAAACGTGTTAAGGCTGGGGAAATTTTGTGGTTCTGTGTACAAGTTATGCTTTTCTAAGTTATTTTTTTTTCTGTGTTTTATGAATTCAGAGTGCCAAGCAGACAAGTATCTTTGGAAGCCATGAACAATGTGTTATAATGCATTGCACAAGATTTTAAAATAGTATTTTCAAGGAGCCAATTACCAAAATCAATATCAATTTAGAAATAAAAATCAAGAAATGAAAATAAAAAGATTGACATTTGTAGCTCAGAAAATGCTTGAATGTTATATACTTACACTCATATTTTCATTGTATACTTAATACTTTTAACCACAGAAATAATACTGTAATCTTTTACCTATTTTCCCCCAAGTGATCAAATATTTTATGTTTTCCAATTTCCATTGAATTTTCATACTTACAAATGCAACACTCTGCTCAGTTTTCTTTTTCCCACCTATTTTCCATTATATTCACATGCCAAGAAAAAGAAATATTAGGACCTATCTTTCATATAATAACTTTGTATTTCCTCTTAAGCACAGATCTATTTATTAAAAAATATTACATTTTAGGATGAAGGGATGGACTCCAACTAAGCATTCTCTTATTAATTTCAGCTTTAATGATTATTATTCATGTTTTATTCAGTAGATGATGGATTATTTTCCTTATATGAATCTCAAATTATGAATGGATTGAAAAAATAGATCTGGATTTCATATATTAAGTTTTGCAATATGAGTTAATTTACTTTTGAATAATTTGTACAATTACTCATTTTTGTAATGGGGGTTTAGTTTAGACACATTCTTGCTATTTTCAGCATGTGGTTTGCATGATTGCTTTCTCTGTAAATAAGGACAACAATTAATATTGTCACAAATATATAATTAGATCCCACAATTCAAAGGCTTATTGTCTCTTGGTATATAACTAGAATAAGCTATTACTAAAGCTGTTCTGTATAGTATGTTCTGTATAGATTAAATTTATCATTTAATTTTATCAAGATGTTCATCATTAAATTTCTCTTTAGGCTTGAAGCAAACAGAAATGGTTATTGACAGAAAAGAGTTAATTCCCTTGATGCAAATTGCTGTGATGATGGTCAACTAGACCTGATTGCTGGGGACAGTCAGAAAGTGTCATTCACTTTTACCTGATGGCTCTCAAAACCTTACCTTAAATCACAGTAGTAGTCTGAAATAGTTTTTGAGAGGACTAAAAACTTGTTCTGAACATTTGAACCTGGCTATAGATCTCTTCATAAACTCCATTTCTTTTTCCTTTAAAGCTTTTTTTTTTTTTTCCTGGATGTAACTGAACTTGTCTTCTTTATTTTTAAATTTCTCTGAACCCAAGAGACAGGTCAATTTCACATCCTAGCCCTTCTTCCCTGAACCTGTAGCGACAGGTAACTGACTTTGGCCCGTTTCTGCTCAAAGGTCAGCTTTGGGGAACACTAAAAAAACCTTAGTGTGGGCTGATCTAAACGAAAAACCACCTTGGTATTGGTCCTCTTATCTCTGGGATAGTATTGGAATGCTATATGAACTTATCCCCATATATTAACATATATATATGGAATAATATATTTCACATAGGAATCATATTATATAATTATATTTATTTTATCATGTAATATATAATATTTATTATATCTAAAATTATTGTAATTGTACATAAAATATTATTTTATTTGCAAAAAATTCTTTATATTTGTCATGCTCTAAATTCATTCAAGTATAGATTTGTTATTTATATTCACTTTGGAAATTAAAAGATACAACATTGACAACTTAAGTTACAAAAACCCCTGTAGAACATCTTGGTTTCATTCAATAAAATACATAACACAACCTTTACACAAGTAATACACATTTTTTCCCAATAAAATCCATTCTGTCGTATTCCAAACAGCAATTACTTACACCTTATATTTCTTTTCTTTTTTTAGCCTCATTTTTAAATTCTCCTTATTTTCTAATTATATTTTATAACCCCAACCAAAATCTATACTTCTCCAGGTTCTTTGATGTCTCTGTAACTCTCTCCACAGATGTTTTATACAAATAACATTTCTGCAGTAAATCTATGAAAACTTGGATATAATCAGTTTACAGTAGACAAAATGTCTCAGCAATTTCCATCATTGTCATAAATTATGCACTACATTTCTCTGAGTCTGAATTTAAATTTAAAGAAAATAACTTACCCCAAAAGTTTTCTGGCCATGGACTTCCTAAACTTGTGTTATTAGCCATAATATCCATAAGAAAGAGAAGATAGAAAGAAAAGCCAGTATGTCCCAAAGAAGCTGTTTCAGTCTATGTCTTTGTGGTTCAGCAAGAGAAAAATTATTTTCACACAACCCCTCAAATACTAGTGTTTGCATAAAAGGAAATAAAGTGTATCATGTTTCCTGCCTTTATACTCAAATTAGCAACTGTTTTTCTTATCTTGGAATTCCACACGGTGCCCTAGACACAAAACAATTTCCTCCTCGTCATTTCCTCAGCTGAGTTACTGAGTACCCTCCTCTCAGCCACCTCTGAAGCTGCTTTGGGACCATTGGCTCTTTATCTTGGTATTTCCCCACCCTGCTAACATATTGAAGAACATTCCAAAGCTCAGCTACAGTGCTCTTCATTAAAGTTATATAGGATTGAGAAATAGACTATTTTCCAATGTCTGAAAGTCATAGCAATATAGTAAAGGGAAGAGGGGAGTAGCTGTTTAGAATTTCATATTCTATTTAAGTACAATTAAGTTTACCTGACACCATTTGTTTATAAAATCTCAGTTACTTATTAAAATTCTTAGCTCTTCCCCTATTTTGCATAAAAAATTTGAAAGCCATTTAGTACTTAAATATGAAAAGATAGTTTGTGCAATGAAGGAGTCTGCTTAAAATCAGGTAAAGGAAACATAGGGCAAAACTTTCAATGACAACAGAATCTGAAGTGCTACAGCCAGGGGTACAAGGATCACATTATTTATTCTCAGGGATAGATCAGAGAGAGCCATACAGGAAAGAGTTGCTCCTTTCAGGAGATGAAGCTTAGTAGAAATTTCAACAATCTTTGTCCATGAGCGTTACTGCTTTAGACTGGATCCTCTGACACTGGGGAGCTACTGGAAGCAGTAATACCAGTTGCCAACATGCACTTAATGACTGCACATGCAGGCACTGACCTGGTTTTCTCAATCCTCAAGGAACTCTAGCATAAACTCTTGCATGACTCTTGAATTAACCCTGAGTCACTAGAATATGATTTAATGTGGAGGCGTAACCATCTTTGCAAAGACTTTAATATATTCCTGAAAGGTTTTAAGAAGGGGGAAAAAGAATATCTCATTGATTTATGTAGTCCCAATTCTCCAAAAACTAGGTTGTTTCTGCTCACTTTCTCAATTTTTATCCATTTACTTATAAATTTGTTGAAAATTAAATCATAAACAATTAGAATTCTAGAAGAGAAGAACAGAACGTTATAGAGAGTGTATAGGATACACTGAGGAAATATGAAGACTCAGCTCTATGATATTTTTTGCTAAACTTTATTATCATATAATCCAATGAATAAAAAATTATTGGTAAAAAAATGCAAAGACGGCTCGTATTTCAACAGTTATAGTCACTTCTTAATATTATTGATAAATTCATAAAAGTAGAAAATTGAAAGCAAATGTTATTTCTGAAAAAAATATAATCTGGATAAAAGAATATTGAAATATTATTTACTCTACTGACCCAAAACAGAGTAGGATTGTTCAATTACTAAATACATTTTTAAATACATAGAGGCCTATTTCTCATGCTAGCTTCACGCTGTGGACAGGCTGCAGAGCTACTGTTGGCCTCTGCTATAAGGACATTCAGCCCCTGCAAGAAGGCTTCACCCCCAGGCCTGAGGCTTCTCCTTCTAATGCCAAACCTTTGGTGGGTGAGGATTTCAACATATGAATGGTGGGTGTGTATCAGACTGTAACAGTATGCTTTGATCTTTTTTCCCACCAGAAATTAAACTTCATGAGTATTTTGTTTTAGCATTTTTTGATTTCCTAATTTTGATACATCCTATTTTCAAAAATGTGTGTAACTTCATAAAGAGCTCTTCAGACTGCATTTCTGAGCCAGATTCAGGACTCTGGCTTTGTCTGCCTTGGCCTCAGTGCTGAAAGAGCTCATTTGGCCTCAGGGGTGGGATACAGGCTGAGACTTCCTTTCATTGTTTCATGTTTAGACCTAGAGATATTCGACCAATAAATTTTCACTTTTGCAGACAATCAGAAACTAGTCAAAACCCTGAAGAAAACATGTTTTCTGTCCATTGGTGACCCAGGAATATTTCTCTCACTCGTTAAAAGCTTATTGTTGGCATTAGTTCTTATCTGTGCATGCAGTTTGCCCTGTAAGGATTCATATTTTTCCTTGGCATAGATCCATGGCACTGAGTGTTTATATCTATGTGATTTTCGAATCCCATGACTTGTCATGCCATAACAGGAAGTTGATTTTTATCTTTACAAAAACGTGAGGTCTGCTTTTCTACTGTTCGTTGTTCTAAAAGTTCGGTCCACAGTCACGAGTTCTCCAGAAGCCATACGTTGGCAGATTTGTTCTTAACTCAGAATTCGCAGGACTTATTCCCTTCCTGCAGGTGTCTGGACAGAAGTCACCTCCTGCAGAGTCACCACCTTGTCAGAGTATTCCCATGGGAGCGGCTCTCTCCCCTGAGTTTGCATTACTGTTTTCTTCAGAGCTACCCGGCACTCTATGCGTCTCGGTGTGTTTCCATTGCTAAACAAAATACCATAAGCTGGGTGACTTGAGAACAATAGAAATCCATTTCTCACATTTCAGGAGGCTGGGAAGTCCACACTCACAGCCTTGCACATTCAGTGTCTGAGAAGGTTCACTCCCTCATAAAGGCCTTCTTCTCATGCTAGCCTCACACTGTGGATGGGCTACGAGCCACTGTTGGCCTCTTCTATAAGGACACTCAGCCCCTGCATGAAGGCTTCACCCCATGGCCTGAGGCCCCTCCTTCTCATACCCTACCCTTGGTGGGGGAGGATTTCAACATACGAATGGGGGGTTATAAGACTGTATCAATATGCTTTGATTTTTTTTTTCCTACCAGAAATTAAACTTCATGAGTATGGGAACTGTGGTTTCAGTCAGTTTCTCAAAGGTTCATATGCTGGAAGCTTGACCCCAGTGTAGTTGTGCCCACCTAGTAAAAGCATGAAGGGTAGGGCCCAGTGGAAGGTAGCTAGACATGGGGACTCCACCCTCATAAATGAACTAATGCCACTCTCACAGTGTAGGTAACATCTCACAGGACTGAGTGCATTTCCATGAATGGGATGCTGGGATGATCTTTCCCTGGAATCTTGCTTCTTGCCTCACCGTGTAATCTGTTCCATGTGTGCTCCTGACACTATGGAACCATCTGCTGTGAGGTCCTCACCAGAGCTGAGGAGATGACAGTGTTATACTCTTGAGTCTCCAGAACTGGGAGCTAAATATGGCTCTTTTCTTTATCATGTATCCAGCCTCAGGTGATTTGTTATAGCAACATAAGATGAACCAAGGAACTTCATTGATCTTGCTTGTGTTTGTATATCCAGTAGCTAAAATAGCATCTAGAACACAATAGCCTCTGAATGCATGTTTATTAAGTAAGAGAATGTAATACTTTGAAGATAACTTAAGATAAAAGTACTTTGGGCATTCAGATCAGGTTAATAAAAAACTGTCACTTTACACTGAAAAACAAGTTAAAACTCTATTCATAAGCATTACAATATCTAAAATTTTTGACATAAAAATACAGAGTTAAAAATACAAAAGAACATCATCACATTTAAGAGAAAATTCATAATTGACTTTGAACTTCCTTTCTTTAGCTTTATCTTTTAAAACTATCATGGCTTTTGTTTCTCCCATATCAATCTGAGCCAAACAACTTCTGAGAATGCTCTTAGAACATACGAGAACCACCAGCAAAAATTAAAAATTTTAATCTATTGAAAAAATTTCAAGTTTTTAAAAGAAACCTAAGGGATAAAATAATATATTCATGCATTTTTTAATGTGAATATGCTATGAAAATTGGTCTTTCTCTGCCTTCAACCCATTTACTGTGGTTAGGGGATGATGATATTAAGAAAGACTGAAAACAGTAGTGGTTGAGTTACTTTTGTGAAAATTGAACTGCTAGTTTCAAGATTTCACAAACTGCAGTGGAGACAGAGTCTCCAGGCCAGAGTGCCACTTTCTCCAGTAACTATGCCTCTGTGGGTGCCTAGGTGAGGCTGTGATCCAATTAAAGGGAAGCATTGCCTGGAAATTAACTGTGAGAAACAGAGCTAAAGCCACAGGCCAGAGGCCTAGAGTTAGAGCCAGGGTTTTGGTTGAGCTTTTCGGAGTCTCTACATATAGAAACTGCAAACCAAGATGATCTGACTTCTTTCTAATTTGGATGTTTTTTCTTTATTTTTCTTGTCTAATTGTCCTGGAGAGGACTCGCTGTCCTGTGCTAACTAGAGCGGGCATTCTTGCCTTTTTCCTGATCTTACAGAAAACCTTTCAGTTTCTCCCATGGATCATAATGTTAGCTGTGGGATTTTTTTTTTTTATCATGAATGGATACTGAATTTTGTCAATTTTTTTTGCTGTATCTAGTGAGGGAATCACATATTTTTGTGTTTCTGTAGATGTGGTGTATCACAATGATTTTCATATGTTCAAACATTTCTTGGATCCCAACAACAAATTCCACTTGATCATATGTATATGATTCTTTAATACACTATGGAATTTGGTTTCCTATTGATTTATTGAGGATTCTTGTATCTATGTCAATATAAGTGAGATATTAACTTGTAGTTTTCTTGTCTCATAGTATCTTTGTCTAGCTTTGGTATCAAGGTGTTCCTGACTTCATAAAATGGATTTAAAAGTCTTCCTCCTTCTGTTATTTGGGAAGAATTTTTTAAAAATACTTTTTTATTTGTAGATGGACACAATATCTTTATTTGTTTATTTTTATGTGGTGCTGGGGATCGAACCCAGGGTCTCATGCATGCAAGGCAAGCGCTTTACCACTGAGGTACAGCCCCAGCCCATTTGGGAAGAATTTAAGAAGGATTGGTAGTAACTCTTCTTTGGATGATTAAATTCATTAAAGTAGGAAGATACAAAATCAGCATACAAAAATTAGTGGCATTTCTACGCACAAACAATAAACTATCAAAAAGAGAAATTGAGAAAGCAATCCCATTTAAAGAGCAACAAAAAGAATAAAATAGCTAGGAACAAACAATCAGATTTGTACAACAAAAATTATAAAACATTGATGAAAGAAATTCAAGAAGATACAAATA